TTTTTAAAATTATACTTATCACTTACGAAAATATAATTCAATAAAATATTTATCAATATTTAATTAATATAATTTTTTACATAAATAATATATTTTAATGAATCCTGCATATTAAACAAGGGGAACTTACCAATAAGTCCTATATACAAAGTTCAAAACCCATCTAATCCTTAAACAAAAAAATTGCACTAATTAGTCCTATACATTTTTAATTGTTACCAAATTTTTATTTTTAATTTTTAATTTATAGACACTTTTACATCTTACTACCGGCGGACTTCCGTCAAACGGTCACCGGCGACTCGTCGGAATGTTCAACATCACCGAGAAGTCGTCAAAGTATCGCTAGGAAGTCGCCGGAGTTTTCGCCGGAAGTTCACCGGAGTGTTAAGAACGTTAATGGAAGTCGCCGGAATGTTCAGAACATTCACTGGACATTAAGAACGTCACTGGAGACTCACCGGAATGTCTAAAATATTGTCGGGAAAAAAAAGAGAGAATAAATGGAGAAATTAGAGCGAAAAAACATAGCAAAATGTGCTAAATATTGATAAACTAAAAGAAAAAAACAGCAACAATGGAAAAAACATATGTTATTTTTCAATTTTTGTAAGGTTTAAGCAAATAATCTCCAATATTGATCAAACTGAAAATTAAGTTTTGAAACTGTAAAATATTACAGTTTCAAAACAAAAATATATTAAGCATTTATCCTTATTAATCAAACTGAAAAACATGCTATAAAACTGCAAAATTTTACAGTTCTAAAGAATGTTATGAAACTGCAAAATTTTACAGTTTCATACCATGATTCATTCCAGTACCAAAAAAAATTGAAACTGCAAAATTTTACAGTTTTCACTGCCTGTAACTAAAATTCGAAAACAATTTGTTCAGAACTTGAAAATTTTCTCCATTAGAACAGAAAAAGAGAAGTGTATAATAGAGAAAATGTAGAAAAAAATAAGAGATCAAAGGAGAAAGGCGGATATAGAGAGAGAATTGTACTCCGGCAATTATTTTTTATTTAGATCTAGCCAAATTTGATGTAGATCTATATCAGATCTAAGTAGATCTAATCATTTTCTTCATCGGAAACATATCTTCTTTACCGTCAGCGAGGGTGAAGTAAAAAGTCAGCGGTCGGTGATTGCCGGTGAATCCCAATCGATGGTAGTCGTCGGTCACCAGTGATTACATATCAGAAAAAGAAAGAGATGAAGCAAGATATGGTTACCCATCAACAATCGCCAGAAATCACAAAGAGCAAAAGAGGTAGAGAAGAAGAGAGGCAGAAAAGAAAAATAACATTATAGGATTTTCGGATATCAACAAAAAGTTATGAAACTAAATAAATTACACATGTTTAAAAAAAGGCTTCTTGATAATTTTCCCATTAAAGAATTTGAAATTAATATAAATCCGAATCATGCACACAACAGCCAAATCCAAACCCAAATGATTTAAGGTCTCGCTTGTACAACTTCTTGACTTAATAATTAATAATTAAAAACAGAAAATACCAATTGGTTGGTGGTCAATAAAAAGTCAGCGGTCGGTGATTGCCGGTGAATCCCAATCGATGGTAGTCGTCGGTCACCAGTGATTACATATCAGAAAAAGAAAGAGATGAAGCAAGATATGGTTACCCATCAACAATCGCCAGAAATCACAAAGAGCAAAAGAGGTAGAGAAGAAAAGAGGCAGAAAAGAAAAATAACATTATAGGACTTTCGGATATCAACAAAAAGTTATGAAACTAAATAAATTACACATGTTTAAAAAAAGACTTCTTGATAATTTTCCCATTAAAGAATTTGAAATTAATATAAATCCGAACCATGCACACAACAGCCAAATCCAAACCCAAATGATTTAAGGTCTCGCTTGTACAACTTCTTGAATTAATAATTAATAATTAAAAACAGAAAATAAAAATCCTTTTCTCACATTTCTCGAAAACCATGATGTCTGGTTCACATACTTTTAAATCAAAATCAAAATTTATATTTAATAAATTTAATAACATACTCATCAAATTAGCAGGCACCCACTACCATATATAAAAGCAATCTTTGCAATATTACGAACTTATTGCATGAATATTATTGCAAATAATCATATAAAAAATAGAAAAATTAACCCATAAATCTTATATTAGAAAAAGTTGTACCATTTAATTCTAAAAAAAATTTTATTCACTAATTAGTCCTATTTTTTTGGTAAAGTTTATTAGTTGATTGCTAGGTTACATTAATACCCCTAGTGTGATATTATTTCCCTATTGCGGCTGACTCATTTTGTGTGTTGGTATGGTAACGTGTGCAAGGGTTTTACGTTTGTAACATTAGCTGGGTGTAAGGGCCAACGTTTGCAAGGGTTTGGAGTGTTTGTCATTTGGCTGGTGTTTCATCGATTGACGTGAACATCACGACATTTTGGCATTGGGTGTTGATTTTGTTTTCTGGTTTTTAAGGGGGGATGAGGGAAACGTTAATGGCATGCGATATGTAGAGTTTCATTTATGTATTTTTATTTGGTTGGTCTGATGTATACAACCGTCAACACACTACCAACCGATCCTCATCAATCGCACAGTCAACCTCACTCACATTGCGATGTAACACAACATGTAAAGTAAATATATCCACGAAACCAATTACACTCCACTGTCACCATCAAGAAACACGACCCTCCACCCATCATACTGGTAAACATTACACCTCACCCACTGCCTCGCAAAATGACACTATCGCATTGGAAACGTACATACTGTAATTTTATTACATATGACTGAAACAATTGTAACTATAAACCCATCATCAACAATGTTAAACATACATCTCAAAAACCAAAACACACATATTCCTATTACAATGAGTTGGAAACCAACTCAGATGGACATTCCCCAAACAATGCTCATACATCGCACACTACATTGACACACCCACATTTACGACACACACATACGTAATCCTGCAACCAATTCTCCAACATCAATACACATACATATGTAACCCTGCACCTTGAACATAACATTACCCACACTATAAGGAGTCAAAATTAACATAATATTAGCCACACTACAACAGGAATCAAAATTCGAAAAAACATCAACAACCAGATCATATATTCCCACACCCATAAAATGACAACTAACCCAAGGGGTTATGGCATTGTGGTAAGGCCTTGGGATTTAAGCCCCAAGGTCACAAGTTCAATTTCCCCCTTGGGCCAATCTCCTGGGCGAAGCATTGTTGGTTAGGAGGTTGGACCTCAAGAATGTCTAATCAGCTACTTGGTGTGGGTTTAATGCTCCCCCGCTGTGCGAGTCCTGACTTAATCGAAGCTTGCCTTGAGAGGTCGGGACAAGCTTCCAAGTTATAGTCTCTTACTCGGAACGGACAACAGGACACCCTGGTGATCTCCTCATGGGGCGCTACCTTAGACCTGCGGGAGAGTGGGAGGATTTCCCTGTAACAAAAAAAAAAAATGACAACTACTCTTCCATTTTCAAAATTATCTTCGTTTCGGTGTATACACTCTATCTACATCAAACAACATTACATGTCAAACTACCCAAACATCACTTCATATCGAAAATCACAATAACAAGGCACCGTCGTGAGAAACCATTACGCACCAAAACAATAGTCACCATACGCATACCGAAAAAGGATAGCACACAACACTACAATCTTAGAAATCAAACAACATAACAAAATAGATACCTAATTAATTTTTCATCATGTTACGATGTCCCAACACTACACACTTCACACTTCGATGCAATGTTTTCGCACCAAAATAGGGTATTGCAAATGCTGCTCGCCAAGCACCATCCTATTCGCCCTTTATGCTTCGCAAATCGTAAACACGACTAATGTTTTAAGGTTTCCCACATCTAGGGTTTGCACCTTTCATTTTCGGAAAGGTAAACGTGACACTCAAACTGCCATTATGAAAAATCCGATGTTCACAGATTGAACGTTGATCCCCAAAATCTTTCCATTTCCTTAGCTTCAACACCGACCAAGAAAAAAATGAATATTACCCAATTTTGTAATTTTGCCCTCTATAAAATACCATTGTTGTCCATTACTTTGTAACACATGCCCACATTACGAAAAGCTTTATTGGTAATATTGTGTATAATAGGACCTTCTCATCTACAAAAAATCTTTCAGAACCAAATAGTGCATAAGTCCACAATCTAAGATTTATTGGTACATCACCCTAAAAAATATTAAAAATTTCAAAAATTCTACTAAATATCTTACATAAGTATGAGAGCCACATAAAATCCATATTATGTAAATCTCATTCATGTAAGACATTTAATAAAAATTTTCATTAAATTTTTAAAATTTCTAACAATACTCGAATCATATTTCTTATTTTTAATCATTATTAAATGATGTAATAAAGACTACCCATTATATACACGTCAATTTCTACCCCGACATTTTAAACTTAATAACATGTAAATTATATTATTATAATATGTAAATTATATTATTGATTGATAATTACAAAAACATATGAGACATAAAATTAATTTAGATATTTTAATAAATTACCACGCGATAATATTCTACTCCTATCGAAAATCATCTTTATTAAATAGTTATAATAGAAAATCGTCATGATATCAATGGAAAAGGAAGAAATTGCATTTCAGTATAATTTTTTTTTAAAAAAATTACAAATAAATGATAAATTTTATCAATTTTAATAATTAAAATTATAAATTTTTCTATAAATTTATAAATATTTTTTTAAAATATCACTAATTTGTAATTTTCCCATGAAAAAAATTGTGCCAATTGTCGCAACAATTTCTCATCCTAAATTTTAAATAAAAACAAGTTCATAACCATTTTAAAAACATTAGAGGATGTAAACACAATTGTATTTTTACAAAGGAGGTTATTGTAATTTACCCAATATTGTAAATTAAAATTTAAAAAAAAAAAAAACTATTTAAGTTCTTAAAATAATTAAATTAGAGCAAGTACTATATAATCATTCGGATTAAGTGGAAAAACTATCTATACATGCATAGATTCATACATATATACTATATGCATGAAAATGTTTGGATAAAAGCAGAAAACTCTTCCGTATCTTCGAAGCATGAACTCGAAAATATTTATACACAAATCATTACTTTCTCTGTCTGTCTAACGTTAAAACATCACGAGAAAACGATTCGAAAAATACAGAGATTACTCCAAACGACGTCGTACATCCACTGCAATGTCAACCCAGCCAGAACGGCGGTGGCTCGTTCAAATCCACAGGCAACCCACGTCTCATAATCCCAAAATACGCCGCCGTAGGCGAACTTTCCGGCAACGGAGGAGCTTCGCCGGACACACGGCCAGCGATGACAGAGGAGCCGGCGGCGAGGAGGCGGGCGCAGGGCGAGGGCCAGCGGTGGTGGTCGGAGGGCAAGTTGAGGTCGAGAGAGAGGGCGGTGGAGGGGGGCGGAAAGTTGGTCTTGGCCTTGGAACCTCTGAGAGAGCGAGCAGCGCCGTCGTAGGCCAAGGCGGCCTCTTCTGGGGTGTCGAAAGTGCCTAACCAGACACGGGTCTTCTTCCATGGGTCTCGAATCTCGGCTGCGTAACGACCCCATGGCCTCTTTCTCACTCCCCTGTAGTGTCCCTCTCTCGCGGCCGACGCCATGGATGAAAATGTTTTAGAGAGAGAAAATCCGTAGATTTTTATTTTTTTATTTTTTTTGGAACGAGAAACCGTGAAGAATTTGTATGAGATGAAATAGGAGATGAAGAGAGGGAGGTCTGAAAGGAGATGTGGTGGTGTGCGAGGGACCCACGGTGTGTCTCCCGTAATTGTCGGCTGGACGGCAAGACCCTCTCCCCTCTTTTGGTTAAAAAATAAATAAATAAAATGTTTAATAATTTGAATTTGTATGATTAAAAAATAAATAAATAAAATGTTTAATAATTTGAATTTGTATGATTCGAATATTTCGAATATATTAAAATGATATTATTTTATTTCTAAAATAATGTTATTTTGAGATATTTGAGATATTTGGGTCTTGAAAATTCGAACTATCAAATATTATTGAAATAAAGATTACAAATAGTATACAATATTTATAAATTTATGAAAATTTTTATAATTTTTAATGAAGTCTAGCCAAAAAGATGTACCTTTCATAATTGGCTGCTTTTTATTTTGGAAAATGCCTCCGACCTTCAGTGGGGGTACTGGGATCGCATGTGATTTGTGGAAAAATTTTTTTTTTTTTTTTTCGGCCAATGTGGAGGCGACACCTCACTGGGGGTCGTCAGTGGGGGTCGCCCCACTGGGTGTAGGAATCACAGCCCTTTTATTTTTTTGTTTTTATTAAAGGTGTCTTCATCTTGTTGGCCAAGAGTATATTTTGATTAGAGTGGTGTTATATACATTAATTAATAAATTAATTAGTGTACTAACACTAGTTGTGATATTATCATTGATTCAATTTATTATACAAATTATAAATATTAAAAATATCTTAAATTATGTTACATCATCAATTAATACACTAATTGGTGCACTAATTGTTACATATAAATTATTCTTTTGATTAAGGCACTTACAACATAGTGTTTTGCATGTCATTAAAGAGGCTTCAATTAATGCAAAGTATTATGGTAGCCATTTTAACCGGTAATTATTTGTTAGTTATAAAGAATATAAATGTCTATTACATCTATGCAAAAAAAAAATTTGGATCATCGAGTGTTTGGACCAGTTTATATATATCTTAATTAATCTTGGGATCCATGTAAAGTATTCCCTCTATGTAGATCAGGTAAATTTCGGACAAAACCTACGAGCATGCCCCTAAGGAGTTGATATAGTGGGAGTTGAACCTGAGACCCTAAGCTCCACCTGATAGAAAACAATTGATGTCGCTCCAGAATTCTTGAACTGTAATGGCACCGTGATGTCCAGTAGAAATAGCAAAACTGAATTGATATCTAGAAAAATAAAAAGTTTGCAGAAGCAATAGATAATTGAGAGATATTATAAATATTGTGCTTAGGTTACAGTGTATATATTTCATGGTTGGAAATCACAAAGATATAGAAAAGTATACGTTAGAAACTGTCTTCCTAAAAATCAGATTGTGGGGATTGTTTTATGCACTCATTTTTGTATATACGTTAGAAAATAGATTTCCTATAAATCAGATTGTGGATTTATTTCACTCACCCAAATCTTCAACCATTTATCCATTTTATGACCACTCCTTTTTATTAAGAGAAAATAACCACACTACCCCCATCCACATACATATCTCATGCTAGTAGGAAAACACTTGATTGTGGTTTGACCAAATCAAACTACTTAGTCAACTTGGTCAATCACACCCATTATCCTTTCTGTAAATAAAATAAAAAAATTAAACAATAAAATGTTAGTCAAATAATAATAAATTAAAACATTATATACATGAACAAATTGCTATTAATAAATAAAATATTGAGGGCTATTTGGCCACTCAATCCAACACCACCCACTAAGCCATCCCCCTGGAGTTTTACACAATATTTTTAAATTATTAGGTGTTTAGAATCAACCATGTAGTCAAAAGTTTTATAAGAAAGATATGTTAATTCACCTTTATTAGATAGTTAAGAAATCAAAAATTCATTTCTTACTAATTATAAATACCAAATAAATAATTTTATTACTCCCCAATTATTTAAAAGATTTTAGCACCTTAATTCACTTCTAAAACTTTATAAAATGTTTCCTCCCACAAGGAAAGACAATAAAATATCTATATTTTTCACAAATAAATCTCTATATGCCTTTTTTTACACATTTTTATGGTATGTATTACATATTAAAAAGAGTAAATATTATGTAATCTTTTGATAGAATTTATGATAATTTGTGATTGAAAAATAAAGTGACATATTATGTGATAATATTAAGCATTTTGTTATAATGTTATATATTTTTTATCAAAAATTTTGAACCACAAAATGTGTAATTTTATCACAAAAATACTTAACGCTACCACAAAAATTACGTAATTTCATTACTGAACAACAAATTATCGTAATTTAGCCAATAAATTATATAATATTTATCACAAAATATGTAATATATATCAAAAAAATGTATAACAAATGTGCATATGGTAAGGTGTATACCAAAGAGCTTCCTTTTGTACAATCACTGGAAAATACCATAATAAACTATTCTCATTTGTATAATTAAATAATAGAAATAGATTCATAAAGCAATGTAGATCGTAGAAAAGAAAGCTGGTGGAAATTATATGTTGAACATAAATTCATAACAAAATAAAATGGTAAAAAGAAGCAAATCGAAGCCTACACATAAGTAATTTCCTTAAAATAGATTTTCGCTACCTCACGGATCGCGTGCTTAAGGAATTCCGGCGTCTGTCTCCTAGGATATGACGGTCAAGGACCAGCTACGGCAGAAGTGGCTACACTCTCTCACTGTAAGATATTTCTGGCAAACTGACTGGATAATGGAAGCAACATCAGATCTTCAAGTTCTCTATTTTCTTCTTTTAGACTTGACAGAGGATCTCAATTTATATATGTATAGGGAAGAGGGGAAAGCTGACAGCCTTCAAGGTTGCCACTAATGCACTATTAAACTAAGCAATATTGTAGGAGTTACAAATCCCACTAATGCACCATTAGACTCTGCAATATTGCAGGAGTTACAAACCTATTATACATGTATATAATAATCCTAAAGCAGCCATACACAAACCCTAGGTCTGGAAAAAACCAATAGAGTTTGGTGGATACCTCTTTCATGAAGCTAACTTCATGTGGCAATTTCTCATTCAAATCTCAATAGTTTTTAGGCATTCTTTTTGTGGTGTAAAGATCTCATTGCAAAGAATTTAAACTCACTTTACTCTACCTCAATTAAGGATTGGCACCCACTTTAATATTGCATTGAAGTTATCAAAAACCATTATTTTTCCAACAATCCCCCACATGAATAAAAATTGACCGAATAACAACAAACGGACAACGCTTAATAACAAAGACTCAGAGAAAGTGCAACGGAATAACCCCGACATCGGAAAAGGTTGCTTTTGGCTTTGAACCCCTCCTAGTGAAGTCTATCAGACTTACTAGCTGTCCAGTGAACACGAAGTCTTGAACTATTTTGCCATTTATATAAACCAAGACAACAAACCTCACACATGAATTACTTTAATCATCGTTTTGTTCTCATTGGTGTGCCTTGTATGGCCCTGAACACTAGCCTGGTTCTATGAGTGGTTTAAAGAATCCCTGTCAGTTTTTATAGAAGCGAACCTATTTCACACTCACATAGGTGACTCTACTTGAGTATCTTGCTATACTCAGCTCAACAACTTAACACACTAGAGTCATTAAAAGCTCAGCTTAACCTCTGCACTTGCAGGTATCACTAATAAAAGGAATGGCTAGAGGTTTAACCTCCTCAGTGACATACAACCATTACACGCAATTAGGTTGTCCCATTGAACCTAGATCTTAGGATCTGTAGTCAACTAGGTTGGGTTTTCATTCCAGTAACACCTTACACTAAGGTCTTAACCCCATTCCTTTTGACGACTTTTCTACTAACACCCTATTTAACCATTTGGTTAGCGAATCCGCAATGTTGTCCTGAGGCTTTACATAGTCTAAAGTGACAACTCCGTTCGAAAGTAGTTGTCGTATGGAATTATGTCTACGACGAATATGTCTAGACTTTTTATTATACATGTTATTTTGTGCCTATCCAATCACTGATTGGCTGTCATAATGAATACAGATGGCTGGCGTAGGTCTTGACCAACGTGGAATATCCTCAATGAATTGGTGAAGCCATTCAGCTTCTTCAATTGCTTTATTCAAAGTAATAAACTCAGATTCCCTCATTGATCTCGATATACACGTTTTGTTGGAAGATTTCCAAGACATGTTGCCCCTCCGAGGGTAAACACATAACCACTAGTGGATTTAGAGTCTTTTATATCAAATATCCAATTAGCGTCACTATACCATTCTAGTACTGCTGGGTATCTGGTATAATATAGCCCATAACCCCGAGTGTAGTGTATATAACCTAACACCCACATAATGCCTTTCTAATGAGTAACATTAGGATTACTTGTGTATCTACTAAGCCTGCTAACCGAGTACGCTATATTCGACCTTGTATAACTCATCAGATACATCAAACTTCCAATGACTCGATAATATTCTAGCTGAGAAACACTATCACCATTATTCTTGGTTAAATGTAGACTCACGTCTACAGATGTCCTAGACACAATTGTATCTGATTTACAAAATTTCTCAAGTATCTTCTCAACATAGTGAGATTGAGAAAATACAATACCATCAGATGTTCTGGTAATCTTAACACCCAGAATGACATCGGCAAGGTTCATATCTTTCATGTCAAACTTAGAGTTTAACAATCTCTTGGTAGTTCGAATCATTTCATCATTACTACCAACAATGAGTATGTCATCTACATATAGACACAAAATGACATAATCTCTGTCACTGTCTTTGACATACGCGCATTTGTCACACTTATTGATTTTAAACCCATTTGACAACATAACGTTGTCAAACTTCACTCTCTTGGTAGTTCAAATTCAGATGTTGCTAAAAAAATAAAAATAAAAATAAAAATATATATTTTATTTATTTTATTTTTATTGTCAATATTTAAATGGGAAGTAGATTTCTTTTGACATTCTCAAAAAATA